CCATCCATCCACACAGACGTCCTCCAAACACACTGGGACGCTACGAACGACCGGTTCTTTTTCTCTCTGCAGCATTTGATATTAAACAGAGACTTTCCTCCCCCCTTTCACTCTCGTGGCCTCTCGTTTACCTACCTCCCACTAACGCAGCGCTCAGACTATGCCCCATCGCAGGACCCACGAGCTCTGTTTTAGGATCCGGATGAATTACTGCATCCCATGGGATTAGAAACATCACATAAACCACCCGAGATCACACGATAAGCCAAGACAACCCCCAGAAGCACAAATTCACTCTGCTTCTAGATCAGAGCTATCTTAAAAGCATACCCTCAAAAATAGGAGGGGGGGGATCATCCCATACCCATGAAATACAGAATGAGAATTGCCAAATGTCAATGTTACGTCGGTGTTATCATAGCGAAGAGCCAGGGCCCTGCTGCGCTCACTACAACACATTGCCAAGACAAATAAGAGACCATTCCTTCTCCAAAGAGTATTTCTCTTTTCCATGAAAGCAAAAGCTGCAAAAGTCAGGGAGACGCGTTCTTCCCTATTTCCGCGCAGCATCATCCCTCCCTGCCAGGGCTCTGCCCCACGTGTACGTGAAACAAGTCAAATCCACCTCCTGCGAACCAGCTGAAGTCAGTATGTTTACACCAAAGATTAATTTGGCCTTTTTACTTAAACTAACAAAAGCCAGGAAATTCAAAGCCAGAGCCTCAGTGTTGCCAGAACGTGTTTATTTAATAATCTACGCCTGTATCGCCCTGTAACCCGTGTTCAGGAGGCCGATAGGCACCCCAGCAAAGCACCCGGCAGGATCACGCCGCTGAAAGCACGTCAATAGCCATGAGATCTCATTATTGAGCTGTCAATACCTAATTCTCCCGCCGGCAGGGACAACCGCTGATATACAGCGTGCTCGATACTGCTTCGCAAGGGAGCGGTAACCCTCCAGGACCAGGGTTCTGCCAAGCCAGGATTAGCATGCACCTACCGACACCCCAGCAGCACGACAAAATCCTTGTGACAGGCAAAGGAGCTATGCCGATGGAATATTCAGAGCAAATGTGATCGAAGGATAAAGAAAAATGTGAGCTTCAGGGAGACTGAAATGGAGAAATGGTGAAAATGTAGAAAATCTGCAAGCGGAGGAGATGGGATGGACAGAAGCACCAGTGCCACCAGCAGCACACAAAGATATTTTCTGTGGGAGGGGAGGTAGCAGGAAGAGAGAAGGTCTAAAGCACAGGAGAAAAATCTTCAGAATAAATGCACACCGGGTCACAGCTGAGTGTAAGAAATGGGCTGTCTCCTGCATGATGAACACTGCAATTCATTTACTGCACTGAGGAATGACAGCTAATTATTCCAAATTTCCACGTCATAAATAATTTATGCGCACAGCCCGTGATACACCATTAATCAGGACGCACGCAAACTGTGTTCCTTAAAACCATGCAACACTCTCAGACAGTCTCTGCTTGAAAGGGGAGACCTGGTGCGTGCTCAAAGAACAGGAGAGACCTTTGAACAGATCACTGCAACTCCTTGTTACCTTCAGCCCTTTCACAGTAACTTTAAACCACGCCAAATTATTTTTTTAAAAAATCAAAAAATCATCATAGATAACCTCCACCCCCTCTTTCCTTCATTAGCTTCATCCATTCAGCTGTCCTCAACCTTCACATCGTTCCTTCTGCCCCATTCCATCTTTTTCAGCAGAGGCTCCAATTTTATCTAGTACCGCATCAACTCCGTCATTGTCACAGCCATCAGACCCCACGCCTCCGAAAACCACAGACACCTCCCGACTCCTCCACTGACTCCCTCCTGTGATCCATTAAATACCTGCAAAGAACCCTAAAACTCTCCCCGATGGTTCATGAGTGTGTTTGTCCAGTTTAAATTTCCTCTGGACTCTGTGCGGGGCCACCAGCCCTCTTCCAGAGGGACGACACTGGCAGAACCTCCAGACCTGACCCTGGGTCCAACGCTGGCCCAGCCACCATGCCCCGTTGGCAGCGCCACGACAGATCCTGGCAGAAATAACCCAGCGTTACACCTCGAGAAAAGTCACTCTGGTGATGGGGAAGCAGCGTGCTGCAGCATCCGTGCTCACACCTCCAGGGGAAGTGCCCGAAGGCTTTGGCTTGGACCAGAACCGAGCTGCCAGCCAGGCTGCTGCTGAAGGAGCAGGTAAATCACTCCGTCAGGCTGTGCGGGTCCCAGCTATATAAAATCCTCTACAAAACCATGTGCAAATGGAATACAACACTGAAGAGATCCACAAAACTATGAAGCTTTAATTCAGGAATGAAACAGAAAGCCGTGCAGTGGGTCTGTGCAGAGAACAGCCAACGCTCCGGAGCAGAACGAGGCAAGAGCTTCACCTGTGTTAATACTGCCCTGGCTCTGTGAGACGGCCACAGAAGAGTTAAAGAATTAAGTCATGTTTCCTTGTGAGGCTCCATTAAGCAATACAAGTGAGTCTTGTGTAAAAGGATTTTTAGTTCATCGTTACAAGTGCTGGTAATGAAGAGGATGCACACTGGAAATGTCAGATGATCCATAAAAGACCCACCGCAGCAAGATTTATCGCTCTCCCATCACACTGCTCCGTCACTCCACCTGAATAATGAATGCTTTTTACATTCACATTTGTGTACAAAACCCATTTGCACAACAGAGAAATAACTCTGGAAGCAGAGAGAGATTAGGAAGAATCTCTCGCCCAGCCCTGCCTGCGCAGTTAACAAATCCATCAACGCTAACCAACGGACCGCCGCCGCGCCGCCTTCCCCCGCACCGTGCTCCCAACTGCCGCTCAGCTGATTTCTCTACGAAAAAAGCAGCAAAAGCACAATTTATTTTGCAATAACACACTACAGTGATGGGGCATTAACTAACATTAAGATTAATTGCTCCGAGCTAATGAATCATCCATTACTAATCCCTCGGCAACTAAATAACAAGCTGTGCTGGACTTCTATTAAATTCTCTGCAGAGCCTTGCCTTGCAGTCACAGTCACAAAGAAGTTTTTATTAATTTCTACAAGAGATATCTTGATAGAAAAAGAGAAATATTGTAAAGAAAGGAATCAAATTACAGATGAACAAGTCCACAATAGATCAACTTCCCTCTAGTTAGCGCATCCCTGCACGCTCCTGCCGCGCAGAACTCGCCGTAAATGAAGCTTTCAGGCAGTTTACCCCGACTGCCAGGTGGGTGAGTGTCCTGGGCTCTGCCCAGGGTGAGAGCACACCCTGGAGAGTCAGGCAGATGTGGAATCACAACTTGTTTGTGTATCAAAGCACTGAGATGGCACCCCAGGAGCCATCCAAATGGTACAGCTTCCTGGCGAATTTGTTGGAAATAAGAGCAAGAATATCACCTGCAACCTCAGCTACTTTATGATTCCACAAAAAGTTTTTTGTCCAGTTAAAGCCTTTTTTTTTAATTTTTTTTTTTTTTTTGGCTCTTGTTCACAAATGTTCTGTTCAGGTAAGAGGACACCTACCAGCTTCCATCTCTGCTCTGGAATAGCGCTGATATCCACAGGATGACGCTCTATTACATTGAGAAAACGGGCCTCGGGGACAGCAATAGCACAGATTATGTGGACCCAGCTGGGAAAAAAAAGTTCAGAGAGAAATCAGAATCTACCACTGTTTGAATGAAATACCCAAGAGGACAGTTAACACTTCTCTGAACTGCTCAGTATCAAGGCACATTTATGGTGGTCGGCAGCTTTTGGAACACTACCAACCGATCGTTCATCGCGGTCACACAAGGTGAGCGTCTCTGGAACAACCCTGATCAACCTTCTCATGCGTCTGGTCTTCCATGATACTAAACATTCTCTGAAAAGACTTTTCTCTGAGAATGAACCAAATTGAACAATGTTCAGAGCTGTGTTACTCCTGCTACTGAACAGCCTGGTGCAGAATGAAGAGCCAGTTACTGGAGCTCATCCTGCCCGTTTAGCGAGAGCAAAACCAGCTGTTACCCTGGCCGTCAGGACCAAGTTCACAACACTAGAACGTGAGATGTAGCACAGAAGGACAAAAGACTTAAAACCATCACTTACCGCCCGTCAGTGGTCATCTGAAGAGCTCCTCCCCTGAGATTACACAGGCAACACTCCTGGAGGAACAGAACTCCTTCAGAACTGGACCAAAAAGCTCTGCTAGCCTGCCCATCTTTCCCAAAAACTGACTGCACCTCTGGGATCCAAAGGCAAACTGCACCCTCCCACCACCCGTCTCTGTTGAGTAGCTGATTAATCCCCACAGTAATTATTTTTGTCTCCAGAAGAGCAGATGCTTACCGCCGCCCATGCGCTGGCCGAGCACCGTGCGCAAGACCAGCTTTCGTTCACCAAGTCTGGACGTATTCCGTAACAGCCTGAAAGACACAAAGTGATATCCTTCAGAGCTTTGCTAACACTTCTGCGGTACCGACCTGTTCACTTCTCAATTCAGAAGCATCTTTGAAACGAGCTGGAGCATTTGGATAAATACATTCAGCAGTCTAGGCTCAAACAGAAGTCATAAGGAAAGTCATCAAAAAACCACACTCAGGTAACCTTCAACATTTTTTTTTTCTTTTTTGAAAGGACTACAATAGCAGTACTTTGATCCTTCAGGCAAGAACTGGGCTCAGAAGTGATGCTGCTGCTGCGGGAATGCGCTCGCCCATCAGAACAGTTCCGATCACTGAGTTTCAGCGTGACTGGAGCAGTTTGCCAAGTGGTATTATGAGGAAGGACAAACCCACTAACACTGCAAGGAAATTCAATACACACATTTCCCATATTTACCAGTATTTAAACTAATTTCTGGTTATATGAAGTGTTGGAAACACTTTACAGAGCCTCCATGGAATACTCAAGCACCAAATTCTCCTGCGTACCTCTCTGCAGCACCGAAAAAAGGCAAGTTGTATTATACTCATGATAAAGAGGGAAATAACACCCCAAAAAGCACTTAAAATTCTGTAAAAGGCGCTGAGGTTTGCCACTGAAGACAAGGGGGACAAAACATAGAAATACTTTTGAAAAATTGGATCTCTATGATTCGCACAAGCTTGCAAAGAAAGCCTGTAGCAGAAAAACAAACACAGCCCGAATTGCTAGCCAGCATCCTGGCCAACACAAAGCTCATCCCGTGGCCTCTACCTCTCCTAACGAAACCGAACATTTCAGCTGGAGAGCCTCCAAGCACTGAATTAAGAGAAATTATTCAGAAAGCACCAAGACTGCCACAATAACCTGATTTATAAAAATCATCCGCTTAACCAGATAAACATGATGTCAAAAGAAGTCGATAATATAGATCCTCAGCTGTCTTCCCCATCTGAAGTCTCTGTTCATCATCCAGCAAATCAAGAAAGCAGATTCAACCCAGTCCTAGGAAACGAGCAGAGGTGTTGGGTCTGAAAAAAAAAACCAATCTGGAAACTGGGCTGCAAGAGAAGGAGACACCCTGAACGGAAACACTGCTGGGGCTCAGAACGGTGCAGAACGGGCTGAAAGCTCAACCCCGACCTCTTGCATCAGGACCACAGGGGACCTGGGGGACCTGAGGGAGAAACAGTCACACCTACCCAACGCCAGATTGTCCAGTAACCATGATCCTAACAGAACAAGACACATAAGCTCTTTTTATGGATTCTGTCAACACCTTAAAAGCCCAGAAACCCACGCAACAGCTTTCGTCTCTGTACGTCCTTGCTGCTGTCCTGACCTGGCACAGCTGGCTGAGAGCGCTTCTCAACAACAAGCAGGCTGCCAGGCGGCTCTCCAGCACGCTGCCAGATTAACCGAAACACACCTCAACCCCGCAATCCTGTAATAAAAGCAAATGGATCCTCTGCAGCAAAGTCCAGGGGATATCGCGGTCTGGAAGTACGAACAGCGACAAAGAAACAACAGGACACTGGAGAGCAGGTCAGGCTAGATCCACCTTCTGTCCGATCCTCAAGGGTAGAGCAGAGCCCAAACAGAAAGCTGAGTTTCCCTGTGCCCTGAGGCTGCAGATCAACACCACTTTGCCCATATCTCTCTGTCCCTGAACAGAATTTGGCCACTGAAACCACCTTGAAAGACTAGTCTATGGAAGACATACGTATGTACAAGATGCAGCGTCTCTGTTCCGATCGCTACAGGGACCACGATTTCTCAAGTAAGAAAGCGGTCTCCATCCTCACGCTCACTCTGCATCGTGTGCTCTCGCTAGCCAGGAGTGACCGCGGTCACGGATGCGGTACAGAAATAAAAGCTGCATTCTAGTTTTCCACAAGAGACCGTCATGCTGAGCCGCACGGTGACCTGCGGGCTAGAAAATTGGAACAACACAAGTTATTCCAGCTGATGCAAGTCAAATAAGATTTCCCATCTGTCAAGATCAAACAGCTGAAGACTAATTCGTCGCATCTCCTAGGACGAGTGCAAATGTTAACTAGACGTCGTGCAATCCACAGCGAAGGTATGCTCTACCAGGATTAATCTGATCTTCTTTTAGACAAAACGACCAGGGAAACCAACAGACATATGTTCCTTTTTGTAATCAAGTGCCATTCCTACCCGCAGTACCAGTCACTAATAAAATGTATCTCAGAAACTCCTCCATGGCCTCTGCTGCACAGAAGAACAGTACAACCTGACCCAGCAGCCCAATTCTGAACAGAGGGCAGCCAGCTTTGTGATTTCTGCTTTATTACCAAAAAATGAAAGATAACAAAAGAAAGAATCTTTTCTGTGAGACAGAGAAGGATCAGCCAATAAAACAAATAGGAAAAAATTGGATTTGTGTGTGTTTAAGATGGACTCGAATATACCCACACCCTGGTAGTACCAGGAAAGGAAAAAGTGGGAGTGACAGGTATGGCAAGCATGCCAAGAAGGAATTCAAACACAACGTACAAAGAGTTTTTTCAATACTCAAAACGCTTTGGTGAAGAAGGAAATACTCACTAGCATGAACCTGCAGGCAGCATTTGGCACAGGATATCAAGGGACTGGTTCCGTCTTCTCCAATGTACGAATTTGAAGGAAGAGGCTCTGTGTTTTCTCCGCTTGAGGTAAAGCACATCTCCGGGATCAGAGGCTTGGTCTTCTGTCCGCACTTAGAAAAGTGGATGAAAGCGATGTTCTCCCCTGCAGAGACTGGGACAGCTTCTTTATCCATCTGTAAGGACTGAAACAGAAAATACCATCCCATGGACTCGCCTCTTCCCTAGTCACAGTTTTAAAGTCAGAGCACTCCCCTTGCAAAAAGAAAAAAAAGTCATCCAACACCTGATGCCATGCAGCACAAATAAAACTCTAAATCCTCTCTGCTCATGCACACCAAACCCCTTGCCTTGTCCTCCTCCTTCTTCCTTAGGCTGCACTGGGATCTGTTAATTTATTTTGAAAGCTCCAAGAAGTATTAGAATAATTAGCAGCTTTCCTTGTTTTTCTTCTGTAAAAAAATCTAAATTTCTAAATTGTGGCTGAAAGCACCACAACAACAAATAAAAAAATAAAACAAAAGAAAAAAAAAAGAAAATACTAATAAAAGCAAGACCTTTCCTCCCTCTCTCCCATCCTTTTGGCATCCTTCCCTACTCTTTCAGCAAAAGGAATTTCTCCAGAAGGACATTTCAAGGCTTCTGGTAGCAGACCAGAGTTAAAAGCAATGGATTAAACCAGCCCAGCTGTAGGCAGTTTTCTTTACAATCATTAACCAACAACATTCAGCAATCAGAAAAGATATTTTATTTTCAGTCTGTATAATAAATCAAGAGATTTTATTGAAGGGGGAGGTTGGTTCTGCTTTTCTCAGGAAAAACACACACACACATATATCTATATATATGCATTTATGGCACGTATTCCTAGCGGACCCGCAAAGCCAGATTTGGCTCTATAAGCATGCAAGAACAAATCAATACACACCTGGGCAAATAACTAATTCATCTGATAAATTTTGCTTTTCTGCTCATAACATATCCCAAAGCATATTGATAGTTTCCAAAAAAATGATGTGTGTGCTTACTCAGGAAATCTGTATTTTCCTGCTTGTTTGCATATATTCACAAGTCCAGGCTCATATCTAAACAAGAGTGATCGCATGCCCGACACAGCACGGCTTCTCTGCACGAAATAGCGTTTGCAATGCAAAGCTCTTGATGTGTGATTTAAAAAATGAAAGCTGAGAAAGCCAGAGAAGCCAGGAAAAGATAACAAAAAAGGCTCCATCCGCTGCCTCTGCCAAATCCAAACAGACTCGGGTGTGCAAACTGTATGATTCTTCTTACTTTATAAAAATGCATCGTAACTTACGCAGCAGCCACCGGGCAGCATGGGGAATTACCTGCTTGTACGGGTAGAAGAGGGTACAGACAGCGCAGTATGGCTCGCTCAGGGCAGCAGCTGCATTGAATTTTCTTTCAGCTGCGAAATTAGGTGCTTTATTCTTCCACTGGAGGGAAAGTAAAGATTTCAAAGCTTCTGGATCACTCATATCTTCCTCACCAGAAAATGGAAATGTTTCTAGAAAGAAAAAAAAAAAAAATCCATAATAATGGACAGTCAGTAGAGGTGAAACAGAGGCAAAATGCAGCAAAGGAGGGTTGGACAGCTGATGTTTCAACAACACATGCTCCAACAACTGGAAACATCAGTATGCATCAGCCTTCTTCTCAGCACAAATACAAAACACAGCCTCTCAGCTGTTACGGAGGAAGTTAACTCTGTCCCAGCCAAAACCAGGACAATTTTCTATCATTAAGTGTAACAAAAAGTTTAAGGCCATCCGGTTACACGGACGATTTTTCAGATCAGACACCAGTGCACTCACCCTCGTCGCTCGAGGTCTCCTGTTTAACCACCGACAGCGGGGAGCGGGTTGGTGGTTTGCCCAGTGGATGACGACGACTCTTTTTTATCTCCATCTTAATTTTTGAAAAAGCAGAAGCAGTCTGTAAAAAACCAGAACAAACCAGATGAGAACCCCAAAATACACAGGTCAGCAAAGGAGAGTACAGAGGCAGAATCCTTGTCAGAGTTCTTGGATTTACACAGCAAACTTTTCACTGCCTTTTGGCTGCAATCAATTAATCCTGCCAAGCCAATGATTGCAGCAAATAAAGCCAATACTACCGCTTAAGGTGTTGGGGAATGGTAAACGACATTGTTTTCTGAAAATCAGAACAGCTTCAAGTCTGACAATTTCAATAGTTTATGAAAAGTCTGGTCAATCCCATGAACTCCAGCGTGAAAATCAGGTACCGAGCACGTAGGACCAGAAACATTTTACTATAACCCACTGTCCCGGGTACCATCCTACACTGTAAATTCTGCGTGCATCCTCACCACGGGGGCTCAGAGCCCTCTTTGCTGCTGGGCACTGAACACGCTCCACGTGAATTCAGACAGTACCACCTGCTTTGGTTCACCAACGTGAAGACAAGCAGCAGCGCTACAGCGCTAAGAATGAAACCCAAGCACATCCCGTGTTACGCAGGAGCAAGCAGAGATGAAGGCACTTAGGGCAGCCCATCACACCCGAGCATGGAGTTTTTTCCATGCCATGTCAGTGTGACAATGAACATTTCCCCCATCCCCGCGGTTTCTGATAGTGCTCTGCCAGTCCCCTGGCTCCTTCAGCAGCATCACGCAGGAAAACAGAAATATGGAATATTGCTCTGACTGGCTGCTAATTCCTGAACATTTTCCTTCCTTCCTCTTTTGGAAACTGGCCTCAGGAAAGCACTTCCCAAAGAAAAAAGAGATGCCTCAGACAGATTAAATGCCATTGTCCATGTGAACGTTTTCTGCCAAATTTTCCAATCCTAAATCTCATGATGGAAAAAATCCCTAGGCAACATTGTACAGCAAGCCAACACTTGGAAGCATAAAGCACATGCTGGAGAAGTCACAAACAAGGGAAAAGAATTATTTAAATGTTGGTGCCATCAAAGTTCCCCTGGGGATTGTCTGGTTTTACCACTCTCGGAATAGTTGCTCTGCTGGGTCCTCCTGCCTACAGTTTGAGATGAGCATTTCAGGATTTTCTGTACTATCAGTAGCAGGAAAAGAGATTCTCTATTTTGGCTTTTCAAGACAATAACAAGTTTGATTAATCAGCTAGCATCAATGCAATGATGGACTGAGCTGTGAGAAAATAATCTCTTCCTACAAAAGCACTCTGGGGCTCACCAGCATGGTACTACTCCATTGAGGACCCCAAGTTTGTTCCTCAACTCGTTGCTTAAAACCAGTAAATCTTACAGTCACCTCCTAGGTCATGCATACCTGTAACTCACTGACCTCTGCAGAGACTGGTCTGCTTTCTGCTTCTGCGTTCTCCTCCTCCTTCACAGGGATTTCCATAGGGACTGCCTCGTCCTGCCAACTTGGACTCTTTTGCGTGGCAAACTGCTCGAAGACCTGCTGGCAGGACATGCGCTCCTTGTCGAACACCACCTTTTTGGTCCGCGGAACCACGTAAAGCATGGGAATGATCGGCCGAGGTTTAAAGTCATCTTCTTCAACCAGCGCCTCCGAGGTCTGGATGATGTTGAGGGGAGCTGGGATCAAGCTCTTTTCTGCTGTGGATGATGTGGGTGCTGCTGGGGGTGCTGGGGACCGTGCTGCTGGTGCCCCATCCTCTGCCAGCGGCTGCTGGGGTGCGGGCGGCGGGGGCAGCGGTGGCGGCTGCTGCTGCAGAGGAGGCTGAGGAGCTGGGAGATGGTGCTGCTGTTGATGGAAAAGGTGCTTTTTCTTCTTCTCCCCTTTCACCTTCGGAGGACGGGCCTTGACCTTGCAGTCACCTGCTTTGAGATAATAGGTAACATTTAGCTTCATATGCCACAACTTGTGGGCATTCAATATTTTTCTCCTTTCATCAAAAAGTTCCAGGGCTGGGCTAACACATCACGTTACGGCATTATTCCTCCTTTCCACCGGGCAGCCTGAAAGCTGTATTCAGCACCAGCTCAGAGCAGCCCACTTGAGAAATAAAAGACTTCTGTCACTCCTATGGACTATTTAATTCTTGACTGGAGCAGAAAGGCTGCCAAAACGAATGCTGCCTGGTGGGAAAATATCTAAACCCCTATGAAACTGGACAGTGTGACAAAAAACACCCAATATATTACAGCAGCCCTGACTCCGTGTTGCAATTTTTCTGTATCAGCAGTCTCCAAAGTGGGGTGTGCAAAACCACCCACTGGGGTGCAGGAAGAACACACTTTTGTACCATTAATAAATAAAATAAATCTTTAAAATAGTGTTTCTTGTTATCTCATCCTTTTTTAAATCTGTTTTTGTGTATGTTTTATAATGTAAATAACATATTAATGCAGCAATTCATGTATAGATTTCATTTAAAAATAAATAAATAAATAAATATCAGGGTGTGTGGGCTCAAAAATTTTTGCTGATGGGGTGTGCAATCAAAAAAGTCTGGAGATCACTGTTCTATATCAGTAGTTTGCCCTAAACCTCTGGACCACCCCGGTGCTCCCTCCGTGCATCTGTCTGAGCATCACAGTGCGTCAATCCATTCACCAGCCCTGGGAAATGAAGGACTGAACAAAGATATCTGAATCATTGTTACCAACAAAGATTTCTGCTGTAAGGGCTTTTAAAAAGATGCCCTTAAAGCATAAATCAAGTCCAGCATTGAACAAAGCCTGGAGAGACATGACACCAGCACTGGCTACCGAGATACCCTCTCCTAACACTTGCTGCATTTGTCCTTCATCTCACCTGCATCGTGCTGCAGGTGCCTTACATGGCAGTGACAATAAACACACTTCTTGAACAGCTAGACATCTCAATATTTTTTTACCAGAGGCAGTAACAACCCATAAAAGTCCTCCCCATTCACCTTCCCAATACAACTCTGCTAAAGGAGCCCCAGAGTCTGATTTTACAGCAGTAATTAAAATTCCTCCTGGCCATCGAGCGAGCGTCTCCAGGTTAGGACAGGAGATGCCTTCACATCTCGCCTTATTACATCTGCGGTGATGTACGTGCCCTTTGCCCAGCTCGTCCCCCACTTTATGAATGAAGTTATCAATTCACCCAAAGGAAAGCACATAGATGCTCCGCAGACAGATGCCAGGGCTCAACTTATTTCCTAAGAGATTGTTTTTCACCTGCAGATGCTATGACTAGGTGACTCTGCTGCTAAAGGTCATCTTCCCACTACCAGGATGGGGAGGAGGGCTGATGATAACGACAGACAGACTGTTCACCCTCCTAAGGATGCTTCAGCAATCCCAGCCTACTGGAACTCCTCCACTAAGGACCAAACCAAAGTGGTCCAGCCAAACCTAGTGATCAGCTAAAGCATCACAGAAGGGCTCGAAAAGAGAAGGTGAACAATCCCACAATAAGATCAAGTGCTAAATTCCCTGCTGAAATCTTCTAGGGGATACCTGAAACTCAACATTTCCCAGAAGTCCGGTCTGACGACTTTATTTACACTAATTTATAAAAATGGGAACAGGTCCAGTCGAAACAGTTATTGTTGTACTCGTGCAGGCAGTCCCTCAGATAAACTGGTTTGTTCTATCACAGAGAAAGGAATATTGAATTTCCTTAGAGAAACAAACATATTGAATGAAAGTCAAATTGGATTTTTCCCTGGTTGCACAAACCCAGATCATATTTACTCTCTATACACCCGGAGAATTCTCTCCCCGACAACAAAACAAATGCCATTCACCAGCGTTATTGACTTCTACACGGGCAATTTGACAGCAGCTGGCATGTAGAACTTTGTTTAAAAGTTTTTGCATTAAGACGAACAAAGTAGTTTGCAAGTGAATCTAGAAAATCAGAAGCCAGGAAAAAGTCAGGTGAAGCTAAATGGCCATGAGCAGGGCTATTGGAACAGACGCTGTTTTCTTTCTCAAGATGAAACTGTACGACACTTGTGAGAGGTAACGCAGACAGTAGGGTGTAGAGAACTGGAGAATCCAGTGGTGTTTCATGGCTATACTGCATTAAGAAATTTGCTAGCAGCCACACTGAGCACCAGACCCCTCCCAAGCTGCCAAGCAAACCGTCTGGTTCTAGTGACGCTTTCTGCCGAAAATCAGCTTCTCCCTCCTGTGCTAACAGTTAGAGAGCTCTTAACGTGTCGTCTAAGTGTATGATTCGGAATGTACTCAGCCAGAACAGGTCTTTATTGTTCTTCTGCCATTCTAACGATCTCAGATCTGTCCTTGTCACTTATCTCTTGTCTCCGAAGGGATACCAGCATTTTCTGGCCATTTATTAAAGGCATCATCTGTTCAACTTGTACAAGAGCTAAAGCACACAATTTAACACACTGCTGACACTTGCAAGCTTAGGGCAAAAGGAATTAACTCTCTGCACTGTGCTCCTCCTGCTCTGTACAACCACGATCTTCAAACTCCTGATTTCCCATGAAAAGAGCAAATACACTGTCTGGCTGAGAGACTCTGGAAAGGAACAAAGACCTCAATTCTTCTCCCAGAGCTTCCACAGATTTCCTTTAAGACCATTCCCAAGGTTCTCTAAACAGTTTGCAGCACCAGTTTTCTCCAAATGCTGCACAAAAAGTGGATATATACAATACAGGATAAGGATTTCACTGGTGGTTACGAAATGCTCGAGGGTGCCTCAAAGAGAGAGTGTGAATCAAAGACACATCAACTATTTAACCATGCACATTAGGGGAAAAAAAAGTATGCATCAGGAACACGTCACATAAACACAAACGGAGATATTCTGTGTTTTTGCAACATCCTGCCTGAAGTCATGGTGTACCCCAACATACAGCTTCAAAGAATTTTACAGACGCTGCTTCTTACAGGAAGAGCAGAGTATTAAAAATATTATGTCCACTGTACAGATGCGTCAATGAGCAGAGAAAGGTTAAGTGACTCATCAAAGGTTGCACATAAATTTAGCCACAGCTTTGTGGAAAACAGCTCTGTTGTTTTACAGCCCCTGCTCCTCTTTGCCTTCTCCTGAACAGCTTGGAGCCTGTGGTTTTATGCAGAAATCATAAAAGGCTGGGAGTTGTCATGGTCTGGTATTAACTTCAGCCGTGCCAAGACAGCCGAGAAGCTTCCCTCCTACAGCTGAAGAAAATCAAACCTGCAGCTTGCACCCGTGCAGCAGCTGTGGATCCCACAGAACCTGAGCCTGACTTCATTCACAGTCTGTAAGGAAGGGGAAGGAAGGAAGGGAAAGGGGAAAAGACTAATTGCACAAGGGAGAGCACAAATCATTCCTTTCCATAGTACACAAAATGTATGTATTTGTTTCTCTATGAAATATTTTAAAATATTCCTCCCCTAATATATATTTTTACAAACCTGTAATAGTTTTGGCAGAAATTTCAAGCCCTGCCAAGAAAGCTATTTGGACTGAATCCTTAAAGAGAGGGGAAAAATCAATTGCTGCTGTGCGGCGTATTTCAGTGAGCACAGAATTAATATTGGGAAAAACTCCGCTAATATTTCAACAGACATAAACAACAGCAGACAAGTTATTTACAAATGTGTTTGAGAGAGAGAGCTTGCCCCAGTCCTTCCCTGAAGTGATCTGCCACCGCTGAGCAGAGCCCTCACCTTCTGCTCCCTCCATCACTTTGCTCCGCTCCTCCTCCTCTAGATCCGGCCCTCTTTTCAGCTCCTCTTTCATTTTCCCATCTTCCAAAGCAGTTTCAATAGCCATGACATCCCCAAGAGACTTCTGATCCTCTGTCTTGTGTCTTCTGGGTTGACTTCTTTTTCGGTGAGACCTGGAAGTACAGAAGTGCCATTGGACATAAAAGAAGAGCCTTCAGTACAGAAAACCATCACTGACTTAAAAAGCCGAACGCAAAACAAAAGGATCTTCTTTGGAGAGAAAACACAAGGTAGCTAACAATAGCTACAGGGCAAAACAGATATCTGAAAGGAAACAGATGAACCTTGCATAACACAACATTTAGGACCATTCACAGCAGCCATTAATTTCTGGGGTTTTTTTCAGCAGCTTTTTCCCAGCGTTACTAATGTAAGCTCACGAGCTGCGGTTAAAATGATTTTCATTGTATTTTCAAATCTATTTTGCTGGTATTTCAAAATATAGATGAAAACTTGTTCTAAATCTTCCTTTCATCCTCTGCCTCCATCCCATCATTTCTTTTCATTCTGTACACGCTTCCCTTTGTCAAACTCATCTCCCAGCTCCGAAACCCTGCCCAGCGCTGCCAGCTTCTCCAAACACGCTGGAATGAACGCGCAGCGCACAATAAATAGGCAGGCTGTGATTTTTCAGCAGTCTAATTCACGGGGTCCAAAGCCTATGAACAAGTCAAACTAAAAAAAAAGCACAAATTAATATGATCAAACTAATGCCCAATGCTGCTCCTCTGAGAGTCAGCGCCACTAAGCAAAGATCACAGCGGCCACAAGGCAAAGAAAACGTCAATTCAGAAGTCAGGATAATGCCTGTTGGTTGGGAACCGAGCACGGCCACTCACTCCCCACCTCTCAAGTGTTGGGATCAAGACAGGAAAGAGAAAAGAATGAAAAGAGAACGCAAGCAGCCACGGAAATCCACTCACCACCTCCCCCGGCAGACCAGCGCCCGGCCAGTCTCCAAACAACCACCTGCGAAGCCAAGCTCCCCTTTTTCTTTCTCTACCCCAGGTTTTTATGGCTCACTGTAAGGTTTTATGGTAGAATGTCCCTTTGGCCACTCTGGGATGGCCGTCCCAGCTGTGTCCCCTCCCAGGCTCTCACCGACCCCCAGCCTAGTCACTGGGCAGAGCGGGAACAGACAAAAGCCGTGACCCTGTGCAAGCAACAGCACAAACATCGGGGCCTTATCGCCGCTCTTGTAGCCACAAATCCCAAACTCAGCCCCACGGGCTGCTGTGAAGAACATTAACTCCATCCCAGCCAGACCCAGGGCTATCTTTTTACCGGATCTATCACATAGCTGCTTCAATGCTGGGTTTACATCTAACAACCTCTGAAAAGAGACCGATCCAGAGACCTACAATTTCTGCACCACTTTTAGCACGTATTTATTTTTTTTTGAAAGCAGCATCTTCCATATGGCCTCCCTGTTCCAGCCCCTTGCATCTACCATCATGTAACAAACCCTAAAACAAAATCACGCCGCATTTATCGGTCCCAAACTCTAGAAAAGCTGAAATTCAGCTTCCCATCAGAAACTCAGCTGCTAATTACATTTGGAGTATGATGGAGGTAAGAGCCCTTCATCAGGTAACCACCAAAGAAGGAAGAAAAAAATAAATTCAACCTGAGATGAATGATTAATAGAAAAGAAAGTTGATCCATGTGCACAGTAATTTATAATTGCCAGACTCGAACCATATGGTAGCCCTCCAAGTATAGATGCTAACTTCACACCTGCAAGACGCTCATTAGCAGGAACACACAGCTGAAGGCACAAGGACCGACTTTTCTCTTCCCCCGTGTTCTAAGCACACACCACCTCCTCTGGGTGGGAAAAGCAAGGTGGGAGGAGGAGATAAACCTGTAAGGCTTTTCCATTGCAGCTGGAACTTTCCATAGTTGTTGGAGAAAGCGTCGGAGCAGAATCGAGCGTTAGGAGTTATTTTTAGTAACCTGGGTGTTTATTCCCGTGGGGTGGATATGCCAGGCAAAAATTCAATCACAAAGTTTTTTACTCACGGTAGATAATAAAAGATCTTTTTGCAGTTCTCTTCTCACTCTGAAGTTGTGGAAGAACGAAGAGAGGCAGAAAGCACATCATTTAAAGGAATGGTGCTTCCAGAACCGCAAGCTGAGTGCTGTGCATTTCCAGAAGTGAAGATGTTCTGCCTCTGACACAATCCCCATAGCAATGTGGACTAGACTAAAACAGTCTCTTGCTGAAGCCATAAAGTAAACAAAGTTGAGTTTTTCAAGGTAACTGAGGATGAATGACCTTAGAGAAGAAATAACATATCTCCCTGCAGAGTTTAAAAGCTACATTTTCCAAGAGAGCTGGCAAAAAAAGCAGTGTTTGTACTCTTTGAAGAACAGACCACAAAGCGACTTAAATTAAGTAGATACATCTGTGAAGAGGTTTGGGCAGAGGTGAATCCCATTCTTCCCGTAAAGTCCATCCTGCTGAGAACAATCCGTCTTCAAGTGAAATTATGTCTTTCCAAGGCATAAGCGTAGGAGAGAGACTACTGCTAAGCTGTATTCAACAGCTTCAAAACTGCTTCAGGATAATACTGAAATAATCTAGGAAACAATGAACAGATAAGGAAAAAAAAAGTACCTGGATCTTTAGCAATAGCTCAGGTTAAGAGAGAGGCTTCTCTGCCCAGGAATGGGCTCCAAGAGGGAAAATAATCCTTGGTGTTCCTATAGTACCCTACACATACACCTGAGTAACCCTCAATACCACAGGCAGAGAAGAGATTCCCAGTCTCCAGATGGGGAAGAAAAAGATCCAGGGACCCACTGGAGCTCAGACAGAGCAGAAATCACCGCTGCTGACTCTCGGACATGCTGCTTTTCCCCAAGGTCACTACAGAAGGAATAGCTGAAAACATTTTAGGAAGATAACCTCTGGAGTGGAGCAACATCGCAGAGGTCAGTTATCTGCCAAAATCCCGTATTTATTATGGCTTCTGGAGCACGGATTTAGTGGGGAACGCACTGTCCCGTTTCAGCATCTGTAAAATAATGGGGACACCATTCACGGAGAAAAGGCAAGAGCCAGGACCACTGGTTCAAAGCAACACCAGGTGACTGAGAACTCCTGGAAGACAATCAGGGCCAGTGCTAGAGAGACACTCTTACTGTATCTTTTCCTTTGATATATGCCTAAATAAATCAGCTATTGACAAATTATTAGGTCAATAGTTTTTAAGCTGTTACTCAAAGTCCCTATCGAAGATGGCCCCAGAAACCTCAAGTCTATCTAAAGCTTTTTTCAAAGGATTTCAAAGAAGTTCTACTGGAACTGAAATTACAAGCAGAGTATCACATCTGGCTGAAGCTGTACACCTTCCAGAGGCTGCCAACACTCACCAGAAATTGAACCAATGCTAGATGAGAGCAGAAAGGTGTGAGCTTTGTGTGCTGGCAGGCTGGAACGAGAATGAGTAAACCATGAAGGGAGCACAAGGAAGGGCAGACACTTTGCATCTGAGCGCATTAAGCCCTATGATAACTCAGTTTCCCAGAAATAGAGCCTCATTCTTCAAACAAGCTTGACGAGGAAAGTTCTCCCATCAGCAGCCCGTGTGTAAAACACTCCAGCTCAAGTCCAGCTTTTTATTAACCATCTACTTCAGCGACCAGTTAGCTTTATCCACAACCAGTTCATCATTACACATCACTAATAACTCAGTAGATTAAGTTTACACTCAAGGATGGAAAACCAGAACAGGCACGAGAGAGCCAAGGTTCTCTAATAATGCAAGAGGAGACCTCAGAAAACTTCACAAACCCAAGACGAAGTCTGAGAAACCTCGATGCCCAGAGGTTTTCTGAGCCCTTTCAAGGAAGCAGACATAAAAAAAAACCTAACTGAAAGAGGAAAACACTTTCAGAGTTACTGTTTTAAGAAACTTGACAAGAAAAAGAATGAAGGCATTTAAGTTGACGAGGGAAGTCACATACCGGTGTTTGTTGTCCTCTTCCTCATCTCCTATCCTATAAAGCAAGATTCCAACAGGAAAAGGTTAGCATGCCAAATGTTCAACCCAAGCATGCTCTAACACACAAAACCCACAAACTTGTAGAAAATTAATAGAGAGATCAAAGGATGCACAGAAAAGCATGCATAAAATCCCTTTTGCAATTGATGGGGTTTTTTTCTCCTCCTGCTTTCTGATAAGTGAAGCTATAAATGCTTACTACAGATTTTTTTGTCTTCCAGGACAAGAGATGAGATGTGAGGGGGCACACAGTGTCCTACTTTCAATGTTATAGAACCACATGTTTTTTGAAAGGAAACAGAACAATGAGGGAGAATATTATCCAAAAAAAATTACAAGAGTAAGGATTAAAAAAAAAAAGTTTTAACTACCCCAAACTAAGAATTATAGCATTTCAAATCTTAACAATTAAAATCACACACAGTGCTCAGGCACAACTTTTCTTTTTTTTTTTTTTTCTTCTCTTCTCTTTACCTGCGAAGCAGCTTAGCCTTCAACTCTGCCTTTGTCTTGTTCCAGGCATCCAGCTCTGGGCTAGTCACAGCTGTGGGTTTCATATGGTCCAGGACAGTAATGTCTTTTCCTTGTTTCCATAAGTCGTAACGTTCTGGTTGCAGAATCCTGACAAAGACATCCATGGAAATCTTCACCATGTCTTTGCGGCAAGTACACTGCAAGAGACATCCAGACACCAACACCACATCAGATCAGGGGAATGGGGTTTTTTCCCCTCATCAGCCGAGTCTGTCTTTCTCCAGGGGAAAACAAGTGGGTTACTAGAGCGGGTTATGCCAGGATTTGCACTGACGTATACGTCGATATTGCAGCTTACTGGAAAGCGTTGACTTTACCCACCTCTAAGCCCACCAACCAAGCTAAAACCTTCTGGTGACCAATACCCAGCATCCTGCTCACGTACAGCCTTACAGTCACCAGACACAATAACTTTGGCGGACGTGGACCGGGTCTGAGTCTGATCTCAAACCTGCACTCCCACCATCAGCAAGCCTCTTCTGGAATTTCTCAGGCTGAAAAGAGATTATTAATATCACTTCATAACTGAAAAAAGCCTTAAAGGAACAAAAGACTAACCCAGGGAACAAGGCAGTTAAACTTCATCGCTATCCATCGTGACATCGCACATAAATCCCTCCCAAGGCTGTAGAGAAGTAAGAAAGGCGACAACAGTAACTACTCTGCATCTAAACCGCGTATGCCTAAGCCAAAGAAAATGGGCATCATTCATTTCAGCTAGCATATGGTCATCAAAACTAACCTCTGCAATGACACCCCTGCCATCGTACGGGCGGTTTTATTTGGATATCCGTTTGCTCTGAAGCACAGAACCACCAGACCGAGCCTAGCAAGGGGATTCTCATCCTGGACACAGGTACCAGACAGAAGGAGCATGTAGTCTTCAACTCAAAGGAAGGTATGGGATGGAAAGGATACAGCAACACCCCAACGCCCGTGTGCCTCCCGGGGGCTGCGGCTACAGCTTTGCTGGTATGTGTTAAAATGTGAACCCCCTTAGTTCTGCTCTAGGGTACACACTTGCACTAAACCGCGTTTCAACTTCAAGCTGAGGATGAGGCAATTATAGGACCTTTTTTCCACCCTCCTTCCCCACCTTTTCAAAGCTTTTCCATCCTTTCTCTCAGCAGAAACGCACGAAATTAAACCTGCTTCTCCCCTTTCTTCTTTTTCACTACCATTCTAAAGATTTACAGCCCTAGCAAAGAAGCCACTGAGAGGGACAGCAGAGTCGTTCTGCACAGTTCATGGCTATCCCACTTCCCTCCCAACTCCTGGTTTTCATTTTGCAACGATCGCTGGCTACCGTCTGCTCTGCTCCGACGGGGAGAGCAGCACTAACCCGCGTGTGCCGGGTGGGAAGGGTATTTATGGACAGGCGCTTTCAGGAAAACTCAATTCATTTAATGAAAAACAGCGTGGGATGGAGAGACTGGAAATGTAATTTGGCCACAGAAGGGCAGGAACGCAGATGGGAGCCATGCTTCACATTCCTGGCCAGGCAGAAGCTTCTCACCGGCACCTCCATCAATACCGGCGTAAGGGATGTGTACGGAGCAGGTCTGCAATCACTTCTCCCTAAGAGATTTTAAAAGCACCTGTGTGCTGCTACAAAGAGGAACGAACACAAAAGAGCACCCCCCAGCACACACCATCAACGAGCTACGGAGACTGACCTCTTCTGCTTTTACAAAATATGAAAAACGGCTTAAAAAGGGAACAGTCCACCTTCTGATCCAACCCAGAACCCACGCGCCGCAGCACACAGACGGCAATCCCTTCAAACCAAGCACAGCAAACCCCGAGGTCTAAAGGTCTCCAGTGTGGTCTCCAGCCATCACCAGCTTAGGAGTTTCACAAAAGTGTAAAGTACACAGACTATGGAGAATCCACATGCTGCGCTACCTGGATGCTCTTCTGAGAAACGACACCGTGGGCTGCGATCCCCAGCGTGCCGCAGCATCAGAAGCCTGCGGGAGCCAAGTTCCTTTCTTTACACAAACCAAACATGATGTATGTTTTTATTTCCATTTTAATTTAATTTTATTGCTTTCACACTAGCAAGCATGAATAATTTACAAAGCCTCTATCCTCCAGGGCTCCTTCCGGACCATACAGCGATATTTCCTCAGCTGCTGCAGTTGTGTCACATTCACGTTCCCACAATGGCCAGGGGATTTTTCCACACCCTTCCCTCAGACACAGCAGCAAAATCCTGTTCAATACAGCAGATGCTTCCAATACAACCACAAAAGGGAACGTGGATGTGTGTGTTAGGGGTGGGAGAGGGAGGAGACTACAGGTAGAGAAGGGCAAAAATAATTTCCTGTGGAATTAATTACCTGCTCTATTCCATTAGCACAGGACAAAAACAGCAAGACTATGTTTCCCTGTCAATTATATCCATTTCCATGTATCGTCTCCCCTTCCATACACACAAGAGTCATGTTTCTTTCCAAGTATTTAACTGTGGTCACAAACATCTGTATTTCCTAAGATACACTATGCCTACACCCCCCCAACCTTTGCCCCTTCCCATCTGCAGAACACATCCTTCCATATTCCATTTTTCCCCCTCAAATTGTACCACTTTCACATTCTGGTGTTATTAAATTAACACGTCTACAGTTAAACACCACCACCCAGGAGAGATACGAAACCTCATCTCTCCCGTGTGAGCCAAAACCGAACCCCGAAGCCCTGACACAGGTATTCGCAGCACTCCCACGTACCCGCAGACCTGTGAAAGGCTGAAGAGCGATGTGGTGACCCAGAGCACAGGTCACGGCCAAACGGCAGCGTGAAGGATACGCCTGTCGTGTCAAAATGACAGGTGAGAGATGTAAAGAACTCTGAGATCTAATCAAATATCTTCCCATCGCTCCTCTGCTGTTGCCCACTTGGTGGCCAGACCACCACACCCGGGGCTGCCGGAGCCACAGATCAAACAACGGAATAATCATCACCAGCATCTCCAAGGACCGACTGCTAGTCCTGAAAATAGGGGTGGAAAAAACAAAAATCGGGTTTAGGGTTAGCTCTTTGCCTTTGGTTACAGGGGATCCGAGACCCAAAACAGCAACAAGTCAAGAGGAGCTTCCATACTCCCCAGATCCGCAGGAACTGAATTTGTTCTGAAGGCTTTTCCCAGCCTCGCCTCTCCTTTTTCGTAAGCTGATGACTTTGCTAACCATACAGGACAAGAACACGCAAAGGCAACTTGCAATCCAAGCACATGCAAAAACCCTAGAAGGAAATGCACAGTGAAGCACTCTTCAAACACCAAAACCCAACATTCTTCCTCTACTTATTTTATTATCTGCTACTCGACGCTGGAGACTGGGGTGAAATCTCTGAGCACCCCAGGAGCCCCGTCTCATCAATTATAACTCCAAGTGGGAAATTTGGGGCTACTGAATGTGTAACCGTTATCTTATTTGCAATATTTTTCTAAAATAACACTAAGAAGTCTATATAAAATAACAGCCGAATAAAAAGACTGTCTCTTTGAAGAAAAAAAAGTCAAATGACATATGGAAAAATGCAGCCTCAGCCTTCAGTGTCATTTTTGTAAGGATACTTCCCTCACTTCCCAGCTAGCAACACTAAACGGAACCCCATCTGTCCCGTAACATATGAAAAGTTAATGTAAAATAACCCTTCTCCTTCTGTAGAAACAGTCACCAGAATGATATATTTAGATTGGCACCTCTGGTTCTCATGGAAAAAAAAAACCCCTCGCATTTAGATGAAATCAGGGGCCACTGCACAGTTGTTTCAGACTCAGCCAGCCTCCCAATTTGCCTTAACGGAAATTTAAATATCAGAAAACCAAAGAGGCTCAAAGTGGAAGTTCTTTCTGCTATTATGCCACCATTAAAAGCCAGCCCAAAATCTTGGCTTAAAGCTTTTCTATCTGCTTTTTTATCATAACAATGAAGCCTAAAAGCAGGTCACTGAGAAAGAAAGATGGTTACGTTCACGACGCAGCTAAGAAACTCTGGCTGTATATTATAGGATATTGCTAACGCAGACAACGCTCCTAAGCTGCTCTCCATAAATCTCCAGGATGAGGTTTGGAGTTTCAGCTTTTGGGAAAAACACAAAGTCCTCCCAGAATAATACTCCTAAACAGCTATCCAGTTTGTTGTTGGATTACAGACGTGTTACGTGAGCTCTAGTTAACGCTCACCCAGTACGGCAGAATAAACCAGCCTGGGCTCCGGTTTAATTTTCCTTCCCCTCAGCCCAAAGCTCCAATTCCGCTCAGCCCCGTCCAGCAACGCTCTCATTGCAAAACCAACAAAGGCACCCGAGCTGCAAGTGCGTGCCTGCAAGACGAGGGGCAGGTATTCTGCAAGTAAACGAGGAGTTAAACCTCGAGAAAAAGGAGAAAACCCTAAAATGCACAGTTTGTGTGTTTAAGGGTTGGTAGCTGAGAGCTTGTGGGAAAGAGGATGAGTCTTGACCCCCTGTTTCTCGCGTAATTACCAGCATCGCCCTGAAGTCTCAAAAACAAACCAGTTCATTAGGAAACCCACTGGAAATCCTCTGCAGAGTTTCATAAACAAAACAATTAGGCAAAAATTTCCAATGAGTCCCCCAGCCCCTGGCAGCTTTCTCCTTGCTTCTTCCTTGGGAATTTTGGTGGGTAGAAGAGTTGGGTAAGTGGCAAGGGATGCTAGCTGGGGAGGCACATTTACCCCCCTCCACCTCCTTCGTGATAAAGAGGATTCTGCTTTAAGATATAATATAAAATGCCATGTGACATGCTTCATTTTAGGCAAAAAAAAATAATAACCCATCCCAAGGGGCACCAGGCTTCTGCTGAGATGTTACACAGAGATTTGTCTGGGTGTGGGGTTGGTTTTTGGGGTTTTTTTGTCAAAGCTATTTTGCAACCTCTGCCAGAATTTTTTTTCATCTTTTACTATTCTGTAGGCTCCACCTGATGCAGACTAGTCCTGAACCTATCCCAAAGACACACAATTCCTGGTAACTCATGGTAAGCTGAGCAGAGCCACAGCCGGGGGCAGGATCACCTCGGTGGGGTGCTGAGTGACGGGTCCCAGATGAGGCTGAAAGAGCAGAGAAGGAAATTCAGCGCTTTCAGCATCACCACGAGAAGGGGATTCAA